AAGACACTTATGTGACATCCAAATAAACAGTGAGTATGTTCTTCTTTTCTCTAGTCCTCGACTAAAACAGCTTTATACACAAGGCCGCCCCGTCCATGTAAACACGATGTACTCGTGACTCAGAGAGATATTAACAGGATATACTTGATTTATGCTGTATTTATGTGTAAAATGTCACACATTCTGCCTATAGGTAAATGTTAGCTAAAATATCAAATGTATGTTCCCTTGCCACTGTAACTTTGCGTAACTCGTTCCCTTCATGAAATCAAATTTAATGAGGTATAAAAAGTTCACCCAAAACACGCCCCCTGTACAGAGTGTGCCATAGAAAGACAACATGTTTTATTCTCATGTCAAAATGGACATTTTTGAATTGGTGTGTATGTGACTACAGGGGCTTTTACAGCTAGCCTCAAGTGGACACTCATGGAACTGCATGTATTTTTTTTTTTTGCATTTCCAGGTTGCTGCTCGACTTCTTACTCTTGCTGTCAGTCTTTTGCTGACTTTCGCCTCTGCTGCAGGCTCCACTCACATCTTATATTTTAAAGGGCAGGACTTATTACCTGGACAGGCCAAATGCAGATGAATCATATCGGTCCATATAAGTTGACTCAAAAGTGACAGAGATTGTTCAGAGTGGTGGTCTATAGATCATTTAGAAACAGTGCTGCTTTAACATCGTCTGTCTTTAAGGATATGCTTCAAGCTAAATCTGGTATAACACATCAAATGCTCACTATCATGTTTAATATTGTGCCTTTCTTTACAAATAAAGTGAGCTGAAAGAGAAATACCCAACAAATGAATTTCTAATCTAATATAGTCTGCTTAGTATCTATTTTGGTTTCTATTTATAAAGAAACCTATTGAAGGGACGCATATAAAACTTGGTACATGCTGCGTGTTTCATCAACAATAAATAAGGAAACTACAGTTTTTGTTTTTTTAAGTTGCCAAAACTTTTAAACCGCAATGAAGTCCAGTATCGGAAAACCTTTTCTGATTTTATGAAACCAGATCCCTCACCAGCTCTATAACAGTGCTTTTGGACACAGTAACATACTGGGCAGAGTTGAACTTTGACTGGAGAACTAAAACTCAAAATAAGTTTAAAAGGTTTCTCTTTCAGGCCACAATGACCTTTAGAGTTCTTGTTGTGTCAAATCTCAAATGACAGCTTAGTTTGACCTCTATCACGGAATAAGTAATGAGAGGGAAATACACAAATATCATTGACTATTTCAGGTAAGATACACAGGAAATAAATACACTACTGTTTGATCTAATTTGTTTTGAATGGGGACAGCACCTAAAAAACCCACATCTAGCTACCTGGCTGTAATGTTTCACGTGTAGGCGAGCCTGTGTGTGTGGGTGTGTGTGTTTGTCTGTGCCTGTGTTGGGGTGCTCGGCAGAAATAAGGCCAGAGAAAGTAAGTGACATTTAAAAATCCAGGAGAACATTGACTGGTTGCTTGGGGATGTCCCATGGAGCATGAAACTCGAAACAGAAAGGTGAAATAGAAATGTGCTGCCTCCCATTCTCTGACTCACTCTGCATCCTTTAAAAACTAAACCTTAACTTTCACTACTGTTTTTAAACTCCTCATTCCTTTATTTTGACTTATCCTCAAAACATGTTCACTCTAACAACATGTCAGCGATAAAGTCTTTCCACTGTCAAAGTAAAAGTAAAATATAAAAGCTGGGGAGCTACATGTCAGGGTTACTTGATGCATTTGCAAGGATAGGTTTGCAATTGTTCAATCTTCTTTGTGTTGATAATTAAAACAATAACTTGTGTAAAATTTCTGGTTGCGGTTAGGAAAGGTTCATGCTTTCGGTTTAATGTTCATACATTTTTTAGTCTCGAACAACCACAAACTTTTTTTTGCAGTAGTAAACTAGACCACAATTTTTCCCTGATCATAACCAAGAGTGAGCGCCGAAACAAAATGCGAAACTAGCTGAAATCAGTAACAGTATTTATGTGCTTTACCAGAGAGTCCATAGTCAAAAACACTTTCTCCTAAATGTTATATAACATCTGGTGAACATAACATTTCCTTCAAAATGCTTTTTCCATGGCATTATTATGGCATTATTGATCAATATAACAATCAATCAATCTTTTTTTGTTAAGCGCCAATTCATAACAAATGTTATCTCAAGACACTTTACAAAAACAGCAGGTCTAGACTGTACTCTGTGTATCATTTCAAGACGCCCAACATAAACCACCATGAGCACAACATTTAGAAAAGTGCAAAACTGCAAAAAAAAGAACCACACTCAACCGTAATACAATTTTCAAAGTGCACGATTGTTAAGCGCCAATTCATAACAAATGTTATCTCAAGACACTTTACAAAAACAGCAGGTCTAGACTGTACTCTGTGTATCATTTCAAGACGCCCAACATAAACCACCATGAGCACAACATTTAGAAAAGTGCAAAACTGCAAAAAAAAGAACCACACTCAACCGTAATACAATTTTCAAAGTGCACGACTGCAACAAGACGAAAGAAAAACAGAACAGTCAGCAAACTAAATGTCCTTCAAAAGTGTGTTTTATCTGGGTAGAGCAGCAGCGTGAAGATCAACAACGGACGCGTATCAGCACAAGGCCTTCGTCAGCATTCAACATTTGGAAAAGTAACAGTAGAGAGGGAAATACTGCCTTTCATGGGCAGAAATGTAGACAAGAACCAGACTCATTTTGAACAGCCTTCTGTCATAACTGTGTCTGTCTGTCAGGCTCAGCTCAGAAAGAAAGAAAGAAAGAAAGAGAAGGATAGCAACGAACAGAGTAACAACAATAACAACAAAAAATAAAGAAACAAGGTGTGTGGCTACAATGCCACTTATAATAAAAATGTACGTGTGATGTTTACAATAACAACAAAGTCACTAGGCTGATTAATCCTCATAGGTTATTAACATTACCTACTATGATACAACTACAGTATTATGACAACTAAATGGGGAGGATTTTAATTATAGCAGCTGAGTAGAGCAGCTCTTAGGTCCACATCAACATTCAGTAATATGATATGAATGCATACAGAGAGAGAGGGAGTGGGAGAGAGAGGAGTCAAATGTAAGCTCATAAAGGAAAGTTATAACAGTAGGGAGGGTGTCTGCCTCCCAGACCCAGACTGGCAGATAATGTGTTACACAGTTCAAGTCCATGTTATGCTGTAAAAACCTGAACATTTGGATCACTCTGTAATGGTTCTCCCCAGTGGTTTAGTGGTGCCTGGTTCCTCGCTTTTTAAGGGGCCGGCCCAGCAGAGGATAATCGGTCTCTGATCTAAACAGTGAAAATATAAGACTACTCTTGAGTATTTAATCCACTTAAAAAAAGGGCCTTTTGCATTTAAACGTAAACACTTCACTTCCGCTGCTTGACTGAAGGGGGTAGGGATTGTTATGAAATGAACATAAACCACAAAAGAAGAGCAGGTTTTATTAGTTTAACTGTCAAACAGACAACATGATGAGACAAATACATAGTCCCTTTACCATCCTAGGGAAATAAAAATTGCAGCTTACTACTGAATATTGTGAATCAGAGTGGATTTACTGTAGAAGTGGTTCTATGGATACTGTGTGTGTATACACTGGCTCTCCCATATGGAAACTGTAAAAACCATCATGTGATTTTAAATAAAGATGAAGTTCCTCTTAGTCACGGCATAAAGTCTGAGTATGAACATCTGTCTTTCTTTAAAATACTTTCCAAGGCAGATTTACAGCCGGAATTAAACACTCATTTAGTAAAATACACCTGAGATGAAACCCAGAGTGATGAAACTTTATATTCTGTTTGGAATTCATTTTTACAATTGATGAAGCCTTGTTGTCCCCAAAACATTGGTAGGTTTTTGCACAATTTTGACAGTGTGTAGGAGTTTTTATGTATTTTGTCATTGATAAAAACAAGAAATTACCCAGTATTGGATGCATTGGAGTTCTATTTTTGTTGCCGTGGTAACTGTTCTTTCACTACCATCATATTAAAGTGTAAAATCTTGGTTTCACGACTGCTTTAAACAACTATATTTGTGTAACACCCTTTAAAACTCTATTGCAGTGAGCAGTGCATTTATATATGTGCATCTTTTTGACATTTAATGATGTGTTTTAAAGAATCTTAAAGGTTTCCTTTTCACTTATTCATCTTATTTTACCTTTCATATGAACGTTTTGACTCAGAGAGAAACAGATCCAAACAATGACTTCAGATTTATTTCAGGCGTCCCCCCCCCCCCCCCCCCACTTCTACGCCCATGCCCATGTTTTGGTAAATGAAAAACAAATAAAAGTGAAATATTTTCTCAATGTCTTTCAACACCAAAGTTTTAGGCACCTATAAAGCTGGAGGTGGCTCTTTTGGAGATCAGTCTATTTTAAACTTATCATCATCTTATCATCTAGTCATTCAGAAAACCAACCTTCAAAGGAAACACAAGGAGGAGGCTGAATGAGGGGCAATGAATTTTCATCAGAGATAAAACTCAGATTGAGTATATGATATGAAGAAAAAAGTCCCTGTCATGTTTGTTGGGTGTTGAATTCAACCTACAGCTGTGGGAAATCACAAACCAAGCACCACAAACTCTGAGCTGTCAGTGAGGGGCTGCACCAACACAAAGTGGTTTGTCCCTGAAATGCAACACTTATTAAGACCTTATTCAAAACCTCCTAACAGTGTGTACATTAATATTTTAGTCTTGCTCTCACTTGGGTGGAAAATAGGGCAGGACTTTGTTTGTCATAAGAGTCTGAAACGGCATTTTGGTTTCATTCATCTAATAAAGGTTTCACATCACTTCTTTTGAAGCCCTTTTCAGTTTCACCCCCAGGCTATACACTCTACCATCCGTGTGTGGAGCCACCTACACCACAGACGGCCTCCTTCCTCCTCTCTGTTGAACCACAGCTCTCTCTACAGAGGGGGGAAAAAACTCCATCTCATCTAAACTACAAGCCCCATGTCAGAGGGAAAACCCTATGAACCTGACATGTCTTTGACAGAGAAGCAGCAGATGAATTTGGACACTGAGAGTGCAACACCTGCGAGGTGAGTCCAGATTCAATGAGTGAATTTAGTTCCTCTCTAAGAATAGTGTCAGAATAGTGATTTGCATTCCTGAAATATCTCTGAGAATAGCTGACTTAAAAAAAAAATAATTGAATCAAGATTAGATTAGATTAGATGTTTATTGCCATTTGCACAGGTACAGCACAGTACAGGTACATTTGAATTGTTTTGCATCTCTCCCAGAGTCAGCTCTGGAGGAAGCAGCTTAAGATCTCAGAGAAAAGGTATAGAAACCTCTATACAGCGGGGAAAATGGACAGGACAAGACACCTGTTAGAGGATGAGATCAGAAAATAACATGCTATCATTTTGTGGTTTTGCACAATTCAGGGATTGATTTTTCTTGGATTTGACAAAACAAATGACGATCTCAAAAAGGAAAATCTTTGAGCCTTTAATTCTCTCCATGTCTTCATCATAGTCCTCAGACTTTAAATAAAACACGTAGGCATATTGTTTGACATCATTTTGGATCATTTATATTTTGTATTTTGAGTAACCAACCTAACAGTCCTAACTTTTTATGGAACAAGAAATGCAGCTTAAGATATGCTACTTTGTGATTCCTGAAAGCACATGAACAATGCTGCCGTACACATTCAAAATGTATTTAATTTCTTTTTTCTACTACAGACATGCAGTAGTGGTCAGGTTTTTGTTGCTAATTTAGTCATTTATCATCTCTGCAAGTTTACATCAAACTGTATGGGATTAGCCTGTGACTCATCTTGTCACTGCTGCTGCCTCTCATACATCACATACACTGGAATGTATGTATGTATGTCGCTGGAAACCACCTGCAGACTATAGTGACCCTTTAAGTTTAAAGGTTTGGCATTTGATTGAAAACCAACTGACACACTGACCAGACTCTGTGGTGTGTTAACAAACACTTTTAAGTTTCACTCTTTGTCTTAACAAGTAAACAATCCAACCACAAACCAAACACTGAGATGCAGGTCTTATCTGCAAGACCCAAGAAAAAAAAAAACTCCCACTGAGGTAAAATCCCAGAGAGGCAGCAGCATGGTAGGAGCTGATAGTCTTTAGCCATAATGCCATGTGTGCAAAACAGCAAATCTGGATTTCATTATGGAAGAGCAACACAAGTTTTCTGGTGCACTCTCGTTTTCTTTTTCTTCGAAGTATGAATTGAATGTATGTTTGTTTATGTATGTCATTTTTAAAAAATCAAACTAAACTGGTGTAATGTGTGTGTTTAGCAGAATGGAGGCTCAGTCCAGGTCCTCTCATAAGTACCTGCTGCTGCAGGTGTGGTGTGGACTCCTGACTGTGGCCATGGTGGTCATGGCTGCACTCTTCACTTCAGTCAAACCAAAATCAGCTGAGGTCAGTACATGTGAGATGTCCTTTAGATGCCTCTAGATGGCGGCAACGTCCTGACTGACAGGATCAGAGCTACAAGGGTACATTGAGTTTATCCTGAAGGCTAGAGTGGCCTTTACCAGATTTTTTTTAGCAAAAACATGACTCAGATCTGCTTTTTTTCCCCCAGCAAAAACCACACAGAATTTGATCATTTCAGTTCTTTCTGTTTCATTTTTGCCACTTTCAATTGTGGTCTACTATTAGATGCAGGTGCCAGTGTTATGTAGAACATGGAAATTATTTGACTTCCACTGAATAACTCCCCCACCCTAATTATACAAAATAAAGAGGAAAGAGGCCCATCAGATTCTGAGTCTTTGGATCGATGGTATTATTTTTTTATTGCCCTGCATCCACAGATCCTGTTACATGATTTAAATACAGTTCAGTCCTGTACCTTTCATAGTTCCCTATTTGAAACCTGACCCAAGACTCAACCTTTATCATTTATGTTATTTTCCAGACTTTTTTTAGAAAAGCACATTCCATACTGGTTAAAACAATTCTTCTGCCTCCCAAAACCCTCCAAGTTATCTTTAAAAATTTAATTTTCCAGTAAAACACATCTGTGTCATTTTTCTTGGAAAGGGACACATTTTTTTAAATGACCACTGACACAATGTTATCTCAAACAATCAATACATATTTATTTGTACTGCATCTCAAAACAAATGTTATCTCAAGACACTTGTCAAAAAAGAACATCTAGACTACTCTGTGAAATTATAACAGACACAATACACAACATTAATCCACCATGAGCATAGCACTAAAGGAAACTCATTAAGGTCAGAGACCTTGAGAAGGACCAGACCAGCCATCTGTTGGGACTGTGTTGGGCTTAATGGGATAGAGGGAGATGCAGAATAAAAAGAGATGAGAAGATACAAATAAACAGAGCAACAACAACAACCACAGATAATACAGATGTATGGCTACAGTGTCCTAAAGGTGAAAGTATGGGTATTCATAGCAGGGACAGCAAACAATTAGTTGATAATGGTAACTATAACAGTTGTCAACAGGTCTAATATTTTTCTGTGGCTTTTTAGTGACAAGGAAAAGGTTGATGATTATTATGATGATGATGATTATCGCAAGAATGATGGCGTTTCCTTTCTTTTACAGGGCGGGGTTTCTTCTCAGAAGTCAGAATATGTCACACCAACAGGTACATTGAAACAAATCAAATTTCAAAGTCTTGACTCCTAACCTCAAAAAACTGTTTCAAAATCTTTTTTTTTCAAAGGTATGACAAGAAAGTGAAAGATACTAATAGGAAAACCTACTTTTTTTTCAGGATGTTCTCACTCATACATCCAGTTAATCAAATGTGAGTACACTCTCTCATTGCTTATTTTTACAAGGACACTGTATGTGCTTTGATGGTTGTGAAAGTATTCACATTTTTGTGGTCACATACAAGCATGCGTCTGCAGTCTTTACTGCTCATTGTGTTTTTATGAACTTGGGGTTAAATCTAGAGGGTCAAATAATTGAAGCTTTGGTGGTGCTTGCTGCTTGTTTGGATCCCAGGTTAGTGTTGTTGTAAGCTACTTGAGATCGGTCTCAAGTCCACTTTATGAAGGTCTCGGTCTTGTCTCAGAATCGAGAACATCTTTACTCGCTCTTGTCTCGGTCTCAGGCTGGGCAGACTCCGGATTTTAAATCAAGACAGATCAAGACCACCGCTGATTTACAATTTTTCCACATCATCACTGTGATTAAAAGGGAAACACCCCTTTCTTAAGCAACGAATAACAGCCACGACCTTCCCTGTGTTATGATCTGGAGGAGTCACAGGCCCTCCTGCACACAAGATGATGATTTCTCATTGATATTTATGGTCTTGGTCTTGTCTCGGTCTCGCCCTGCCTTGTTCTTGGTCTTGACTTAGTCTCAATTCCCAATTGTCTTGGTCTTGTCTTGGTCTCAGAGCACTCAGTCGATTGGTGTGGTATTGAGTACAACCACTAATTCTCGGTTCTCCATTTTGCAATTCTCAGTTTTTCTGTAACTTCTATAAAAACATTTCAAAGCAGAAAAAGTCCAGAGATATTTTCAGTGACAGCAGAAACATTTTTCAGCTGTCCATGTCAGGTTCAGCTGCCAGTGCCTGACATTTCAAAGAACCTCTATTTGGAGCTGTCATTGTACCTTCACTTTAAAGTGTCACATTGAAAAAAATTGACATCATAAGGGATACAGAGATGTCACTTTCTAGCCAAAAGATATCTCCACTGACCAATGCTAGAGCTGATTTAAATACAAGGCTAAACTCAAACTTTTAACTTATGTCTCGTGCTGTAATTATGCTTGTAATGGACAGACAATGCTACCCTTTGACGCCTACAGATGCTGGCTGCAACAAGTTAAGACACGCTTGAAAGTTTTTTTCTAAGAAACGTGGGAAGTCTTTAAGAGAAGAAGATGAACACAGGGGGGAAGAAGGTGCAGGGTTAATAGTAGCAAAATAACTACAACTATTGGATGCACGTTTGCATTTTGTCTTTTTGGGTCTTCACTTCATCATGATTTTATTAAAACCCATGTGGTCTGTTTACTATAGGGTCAAGCACCAAAAATATTCTGCCATTATTAAACCAGTTGTGTATTGTTGTCTTCTTAATTTCAAGTGGTTAGTTCATCATTGTTATTTAGAAAAAAACAAACAGTTAAGTACATGGTCTATGATTATGCAAGTCTCCTGCAGCTATCACATCTAACTGATAAACATCTACTACATTAACGTACAAATCGTCTTCCTGTTCACACAGTCGGTCTCAACTGATTGTGAGAGACACACTGTGAAGTACTGTCATGTTTCCAGCCTCAGGCATTGTGTTCCTCCCACCACACTGCCTCTTTCCTCTGTGAAGTGGGTTCCTAAAACCTCAACAAACCCGAGCAGAGCTGTAATGTGGGCTGCACAGACTAAAGGTATAATTACAGCCCACGGCTCAGACATCATACGTTTGGCAGGGCAGGCTTTGTCTGACAAATGGAAGGAAATTAGCCATTAATTGTAAGATCAACTTTATTTAAGTGCTGTCTTATTCGACTTGGGATCAAAAAGAAAGTGAAAGCTTCAAAGGGAGTTGGTGGATTTTAGAATTTGATCAAACGAGGTTTTTAATGCCAGAGCCCAAAACTCAAAATGTTTTCTGAGCTACTAAAGACATGTTTTCCGATTCTCCCACAACTCCAGATGGTGGATCCTGGCAGGCCGAACACAGCTGTGAGTCCTGCTCCCTCGAGCTCCGTGAAAACTCCATCCACTGCTCACAAACCAGCCTGTACTTCCTCTACGCCCAGGTCACCTTCAGCAGGCACCCCAAGACAAGTCTAACCAAAACTGTGATCCTGAAAAGAAACGCCTCTTCCTATATAAGCAAGAAGATACTGGTGGAGGGGACGTTTCGGAACACGACAGAGGGCTCAGTGTGGGTGGGGAAGATCGTCAGTCTCACAAAGGGGGACAGCATCAGTTTAGATATCACAGATGACTTTCTGACAGACAGCACTTTCTGGGGGGCTTATCAGCTGCACTAGCAATGCAGATATTCAGAGTGTGAGGTCGTATAGGAGAGACTCATTTGGTACATCATTATTCCACCAATATGTTTTACTGGATTCAACTCAAATTCTCAATGACTCTGTGATATGAGATGATGATTCAATCTTAGTTGTCACAGGTGTAAAGCTTTTTAATCATCCTTCAGGCCGATATGGAACACTAAAATATTCAGGGCTCCATCAGGCCGGGAGAGGAAGGTATCTTCCTGAAAGAGATCTTTCAACAAAGGTTTAAAAGTTTGGATCTCATTGACCTGTACAAACATATACTTCCCTTATGTACGGAAGCCATAAAGGGACATGCATCAGTACTTTTATTTTATTTCATATCTAAAGAGTTTCCAAAGGGAAATTTGCTTAACTTTCCTTTATCACCAGAAAACAGTTTATTTCAAGATAATGAGGTTGATTCATTCATCATACAGGGAACACCAGCTTCATTATCCCGAGATTACAAGACAAGTAAGTTGAGATCTTGAGAAAGCATTTGGAAAATACTTATTTTGGGAAGATAGAGGAAAAAAAATGTAGAGTTGTAGAACTCAAAATCGGTATTGGTCTTGAGACCATTATTTGAAGGTTTCTGTCTCGTCTCGGAATCAAAAGCATTTTGTCTCTGTCTTGTCTCAGTCTCAGACTGGGCAGACTCCAGATTCGAAATCAAGACCACCACTGAAAGGCCATTTTTCCATATCATTACTTTTATTCGAAGGAAATCCTCCCTTTCTAAAAGAACAATTAACTTACATTGATTCATAATTAGATTTTCAACGCCGGTGATATTCATCGGTGATATTTATGGTCTTTGTCTTGTCTCGGTCTTGCCCTGCCTTTGTCTTGGTCTTGGGCTTGACTCGATCTTGATCCCTAAATGTCTATTTCTTGTCTCAGTCTCGGAGCCCTCTGGTCGATTTCTTGGTCTCGGTTGCCTTGACTACAGTGCTAATAAAATATATGGATGCATGTCCACTAAGGGCTTCCGTACTTATAAGTCCCTACCATCCATACTTCTGTGTCAGAAATCATGTGTACCATTTGGTGCTTTGTTTAATATAACTCTCTAAAACTCTAATAAATGTAGTGATGGATAGCCCCGCGAGATGAATCATACCGTTTTCAAGGGGGTTTTCAGTGCCAGAATATATTTAAGTATTTAATATAAGTGTTGCATTCATGTGTAATTTATAAAATCAATATTATATTGCTTTGCGTTCCTTTAATGGAATCCAAATGGGATAAAGAGTGTATCATCTAAATACCAAAGAGCCCATTTCTTGACTTTTTTACTTCCATTATTTGTTGCCAACCTGTATTTTGAGCCAATGTTTTAATATTTTTTGCATTCTAAGGTTTTATTTTTGCCTGATTTAATGTTTCTTTTCATGCTCTTACTTCAATGTATCAATGTTTTATTTTGAACTCTGTAAAGTTACTTTGAATTGCTCCTTGTTGCTTTATAAATAAACTTGTCTTGCCAGCTGACCACAAGGTGGTGCCAACTTTCTCTAAATTGGAGTCTAAAAAAAGACTCCGACTGTGTGTAGAATCTGTTTCCCAATGTCACTTTCACATTACACAGCCTAATGACGCTCTAATCGTCTGTAATTTATCATATAAAGAAAGAGTATCACAAACAACAAAGACGTTCCACAGATGGCTGAGAAACCTTGGGAGAGTCCCACGAGCACAAAACCTGTTGTTCCTGACCTCGCTGGAGGCTAACACTGTAAAAACAGAAAGTATTTACCTCTGTATGATTGATGAGAAGTTATGCAAGCAGGAGCAGCAGGTGCAAAACAGGAAACCACAAATTTGGTGCAATATCAGTCATACAGCCACCAACACAACCACAGGCACACTGTACACGGAGCCCAAACAAACACCTTCTCCTGTTGGCTCCTTTAATAAAGGAGTGCTAATGCGATAGTCTAAAACCCATCTTGAGTGAATATGGACAGTAAAATTATCATAATATGTCTGTGTCTGACTTTAGCTAACAGAACGAGATAGAAATAGGCCCCCAAAATGCAGACTCACACCAGGCAGAGTTCAGTAAAAGCAGAGTTTAATAAGCAGGTCAAAGGTTAGTAGGGAAATTATCGGCGGAGAAAACAAATCCTCAATGGGCAAAAACGAGAAGGCAGGCAGAGGCAAAAAAAACACTAGAAGGATCACTAGAAGAAAAAGGGCGACACAAAACAATACACTAAGAGCTGGCAACATGATGAAGGAAACACAGATTATATACACAGACAATCAGGCCATGAAGAGACACAGGTGTGCACAATCAGGGCACGGCGGCATGAGGCGGGAAAACAGGAGGAGCAGGATCTGAAAGACAGAGACATGGGTCTCAAAACAGGAAATTACAATAATACTAAAATAAATGGAGAAAAGCAAAACATGAACTTAGGTAACTTGACAGGTTGGGTTGCTCTACTTCAACTAAACAATACTGAGGCTGTAGAAATGCCACAGCATCAATTTCACCACAGCAATAACCTGAATATAAGCAAGACAGTGTTACACAATAGGATACAGAAGGCATGTCTTGATAATAAAGTTATAGAACAACATACCTGTATCAGATCGGATGAATATCTAGGAAGCGGTTGGATGCTAACGTTAGCTGTTTTGGTTAATGGGTGATCAAATATGTTGTTTTGCCTTTAAATGTTGCTGGATGTCTGCAAATTGTATGTCTCCATTCTTCTCTCTGTTGCTGATCAAATGGTAAGCAGTGCACGGAAAACAACTGTCAGTTTCCTGTGTACCTGGAAGTCAGTGGTAGGACATAACAGCGTTATGAGAGGTTTATTAGGTTAGTGTTGTCTTGACTTGCAAATGACAGTGCAGACAGTTTTCCTTCAGGATCAGATTTGAAAAACTAATCTAATCTAGCTGTGTATCAAGGCCTCCCTTTAGCATCAGCATGCTAGCATTTTCTAAAAAATAACTTTAGGTTTGCATCTATTTTGGGGGCATAGCAGTACACACAATCTCTGCTGGTTTTGTCCTGTACATGTTTAAATACTGTTTTCTGATGACAAATCTCATCCTGCTGTCTTTGAACAGTCAGACATCACTCACTGTGGAAAATCCCAACAAAGACTCTTTCGGCAGTGTGCTGTAACTAACTTTCTCTTACCCAGCAGTTTTCTATAGTGATACAAATTTCAATATAAACAATATTGATGTTGTTGCTGCAGGTTTTACAATTCTTTTTTTTTTTTTTTTTTTAGCTCACAGAGGCATTAAGCAAAGTTTTTCATAGCTGTAGGTTAAAACTCTTCATGTGTGCTTTTACTAGAAAAGACAGGCAAAAGAGAATATTGTTTTGTTGTTTGGTCGTAAATTAAACTTTTGGCAATATTTAAATTTTGACCCCAGACAGGTTAAGAGATCACCATTACAATTCACCCTGAGGTAAACATTAATATCATCAACATAATGACTTGCAATCCAGTCAAACATGGCTTAAACTATAAGACACAACTCATCATAGAGTTACAAGAAAAGTCAGATGATCTCCAGAGTAAAGATTCATTTTCTAGGATCCAAGAAAGTACGTTAAAAAATGTTTGAAATACATAAGTGAATTTTTTGTTTATGTTCTTATCTGATTACTGAAACTGTCAGCGGCTGTAGCCTTCGAGCTGAATGACTCATCATGTATATCATTCCCCGAACTCGCTCTGTATTTGGTGAAAGTGTGAGAATATGTTCCTGGTAGAATAAAGGCTCAAAGAATTGTTGAGACATTTTCCTAATTGTCTTTGCCTTTCATATAGTTATGTCATGAAGCACAGAAACACACATTAACACATTTTCAGATGCAACACACGCGCAGAGAGATGATATCTATATATATATAACTGTTTGGATAAATTAGTCAAGAAGGGATTAACCTGCTTTTAACTCACACTTTATCAATAGGATTGAGTGGACTTGATGTGACGCGGCATACATTCTTTTTGTGTGAGACAAACACTAATCCTCCACCTTATCAGCATCCACTCTACCTGTGCGCATGTGGGTCACTTATCAGGACTTAAGGAAGCATGACATCACCTCCACAGGTATCTCAGGCCGCTGACTAGCCTCACACATTCTCTCCAACACTTGATCTTTTGTTCCCTTCAGCCTTTGGGGGTTTTGTCAGGAGCGTTAGTGAGTCCTGTCATTTCTCCCGGCCTCTTAGTGCACCATTACGTTTGCCTGCAGGTTTAAATCTGGCTCAGTCATAAAAATGTTCTTTTTTTCAAACACATAGAGACAGAGGATGAGATAACATTTTGACTTAAGAGGCGGCTGTGGTTCAATGGGTAGAGTCAGTCGTCTCTCAACCGGAATGTCAGGGGTTCGATCCCCAGCTCCTGCAGCCATATGACCGGTTTGTCCTTGGGCAAGACACTTAACCTTAAGTCCCGCTGCTTCATCCACAGCGTATGAATGGTTAGTTACTTATGAAGGTCACTTTACACAGCAGCCTCTGCCATCAGTGAGTGAATGTGTAGGTGTGACATGAGGTGACGAGTAAAGACGTACGGTCAGACTTTATTTAATTGTTTTTAAACCATTATACTCAACATATCGAGATTTGACAATTCAAAGAAAGAGGCCTTTTTACTTTAAAAAAAATATATATATATATATATTGTGTTTATAAATAGATATTATGTTAAAGCAGCAGAATCACACAAGAGAAAATACAACTAAATAATTTACCAAAAATATATAATAAAGTTTTTAAATAAAAGTTAAAATGAATGTACATTCAAACATAATGATTCTGTAAATAACAATTTGTTTGTAAATATGTATAAAGAAGAACAGAATAATGAATGATCATATATTATGGGTAATATATATTATTTGTAGAATCATATACGGTGTAGTATATATACTTTATACAATATTTTGTATACATTTGTAGCCTACTGTTCATACATTATAATTTGGTAATGAAAAATGTATCAGTAAGGAATTCATATTTAGATTAAGATGAATCTTTTCTAATTGATCATATTTTTTGTAAGACATGGATACTTGGTCATAATACATATCTGATCAAGTATAATAAAATTAATTATTGTATAGGTTTAAATCAATGGGAGTGTAGCCTAGAGGCTTAAGTCCTTGAGAGCAGGCTGGTTCGAATCTGACCTTCGACTCCTTTCTCTCATGTCATTCCTCACTCTCTCGCTCTCCAGCTTCTGACTATATCTACTGTCCTATGTCTGAATAAAGGTATAAAAAGCCCCAAAACAAATCTTAAAAAAGGCTTAGATCAATAAGAAAACTGTATTATTCACTATCAATGATTTATGGAGAAGGGGTGATATTATATAAGTCTGTACGTCTTCACACTTTTTGTTGCTGCTTTGTCCTTTTCATTTTTTTTGTAAATGTTGTTTATTTTCAACGTCTCTCTGTTGTTTCCACGATCACTTCCTCCAATTTTTTTCTTTCTTTTTGACACAAAATAAATACAAGTTCAATTCAATGACACGTTAAGCCTCCTTCTTCCTCTCATGTCTAATATTAACAGTAAAGACAAATCAGTCTTTCCTGTGAGGGCTTTGGGTGAATGTGAGCAAAAACGCGAAATAATCCCACTTCTGTATCTGTCACTCACACTTCCTGTTTCACTCGACGCGTTATTAGAAGATTTGAGCTGTTATTAATGAGTTTTATGTGTTGCAATGCGGTACTGTAAACGGGAGAAACATCCTCATGTGTGGGATGATATTCTCAGATGTCATCATCTGACTTGAAGTCATGTTGTCCGACTGTACTTCCTGTATTTCAGTGTGCTCTGTATATTCTGTTCTTGTTGTTTTAGTAACATGTCACTCTCATGTTGAGCCATCTGTTCATCATGTGACAAAGTAAACAGTCTGTGAGCTGAAAGAAACAAAAAAAGTCCTGTATGGTGAAAAGGGTCATATGGATGCAAAATAGGTCAACAATGAGTTCTTCATTATTTGCATAAACACATTCAAAAAGCTGTATTGAAGCTTTGATGCAGACCAAACGCTGTGAAACAACAAGCATCAATATGGGAACAAGTGTAGGAGGAATCACCTGACGAGGCCTACATTTGTGCAATGATGACTTGAATGACTTGATGCCCAGAGGATTAGAGAAGTGGATCCAAGACTGATGTGAGAAATAAGAATCCCGAGAAAAGACTCCACTCTGTCTTCTCCCCTCAATAAATTCACTGTCAGGGGGCCTTTTAGCAAGGCACTCTATACCACAACTTCCGCAAAAAGGAGGACGATGTAGATATGAAACCGAGGGCGAGCGTGCACTGAGCGAGACACCTTAAAGGTCACAGAGACTGAACTCCACTGTATCAGTACTGTCTGTGTTAGTCACAAAGTAAACTGGTTTAGTCACAGATCCTGCAATCTGTTCAACCACCAACTGAAACTGTCCCACACAGCCTTATTGTCCAATCGTGATGATTTCTGGTT